ATATCATTTTAACAAAAGGAATATATCACATTCTTTGATGCCACAAAACATCATTTTTATTAATGAAAGTAGAAGTACAAGAAGTAGGAAGCACTGAACTATCAATAACAAGGGAAGAGGGAACAGGACTAATGACAGAATGAAAATAACAATCACTAGATTTTACATTAGAATAAGAAATAGAAACAAAATCAGATTTGCTGGAACCCATATGCAGAATGTATAGGCCATGCTCAACTCTACCAATTTCCAATGGCCTCTTCAGAGAACGGCCCTGTAGGAACAAGGAAATAGTAGTGAGAATAGCATAGCAACTGAGTTGAGTGAGAAGTTGATGTATAGAGATTAAATTTAATTGAAGAGAAGGTACCAAAAGTATATTATTCTGGGTGATAGTAGAAGACAGTGATAGACAGCCTATAGAGGTAAGTTTAACTTTGTATCCATTTGAAAATGTAACAAGAGAATGTGTGACTAAAAGTTGTATATTATGAAGTAGGTGCTTGTGAGGGGTCATATGATTAGTGGCCCCGGAATCCAAAATCCAAGATATTGAATCTATTTTAGAAGCGGTAGATGCAAATAAACCATCAAAATTAAAGACAGTGTTGTTTACCAAACCTACAAAATTGGCATAAGCAGTAGATGATGATGATGATGTTGAAGCAGAGGATGAGAGTTGGGCCTGCTGAAAAAGTGACAAAATATGAGCATAATGCTCCTTCGAGAAACCATGTGGAGCATCAACAACTTGTTGAGGATCAGAAAGAGGAGGAGTCTCAGGAGTAAAATCCATATGTACAGAAGCCGCAACTCTTTTATTCTTAGTGAAAAAATCTGAGGGGAATCCATGAAGCTTGTAACACTTGTCTATTGTGTGCCCAAACTTCTTACAGTACTTGCAGAATAACATAGATTTCTTAGGATCAAAGTTTACTCTTTGAGGATAATTTCTAGAGTTATTAACTTGAGAGGGACCAATCTGAGGAGCAAGAGAATTGGCTAGGAATGAGGCTGAATCAGAAGAGAACATAGGGGAATCAGATTTGATCTCTCTCTACTTTTCATCTCTGATCAGAATAAGTTATGCCTTTGCAACTAATGGTACTAGACTCGTCATCAGAAGCATTCGTATCATTCAACCCCGATAAAAATTGAACAAGTTGTTGTCCCTCAATAAACTCCGGCAAGGCACCACAAGTGCAAGGCCTACCAAAAGTACAGTTACCAATTTCATCCCAATAACCCTTCAACTTTATAAAATACCTAGTTATATCAGAAGATCCCTGTGTAGTGGCTGTTATGGCTCTTTGAATACTATAGTATTGAGATATATATGCAACACCATATCTCTCCTCTAGATTATCCCAAGCTTCCTTAGTAGTTTTGTAATACAATATAGTCATGGATATGTCCTTAGATAATGCATTCATAATCCAAGCTTTAACCATGTTATTGCATCTCTCCCAATGAGGATAGAGTGTTGAGGTAGGTGCAGGTTTGGGTAGGGAACCATTGATAACTTGGAGTTTGTTTTTAGTTGAAAGTGAGATAATCATACTCTCTTTCCACTCTCCATACCCTATCCCAGCAAAAGGAACAGAGAATAATACTGTACCCGGAGTATCAGAAGGGTGAAGATACAAGGGATGAAAAGGATCGAGTTAGGATTTAAATTTGTGTTCGGAAGTTCAGGTACAACAGGTGTTTGAGAATCAATAGCCATGATTATGAAAATATCATAAGGAAAACAACAGTTCGCACAAAATATCTATCATAATATGCAAATATTAGAGAAGAAATATCATCAATTGTGTGAGAAAACCCTAAAATTGCGTTCATGTTGTGAAGCTTGAAATTTCAAACGTACTTTGCATCAACAGCACAATTGAAGACGAAATCGACATCAATACTGAAAATTGCAGCTCGGACGAACAAAAAATCACCAAAATATTTAGAAATCGATAGTGCAACAAAAATTGTTCTAGATCAGAAAATCGAACAACAAAAACGTAGTTCCTCCGGAAATTAACCAGGTTTGCTCTGATACCATGTTAAGATTAAAGGAAATGAAAGAAATTAGACGAAATTTAGCCAGCTGAGACCTGTTCGAGAGAAAGAGACGATATAGAGAAAGATATTTTTCATTTTCTTCTGTAAGCATCAATCCGTCCACTAATTACAATGAACTAACTATTTATAGTATGGGCCTGTACATGCTACTACAACAAAATAATAATTGGGCCTTATAGTATGGGCCGGTACATAAGTAACAAAACAAAACTAAGTTGGGACTTCATCTATTGTAACAGCTTCCTGTGAAAATCTCTCTTCCATACGCAGTTCCAATGGCTTCAAGACAAGATTCAAGCTCAATAATCCCTCCTCCACTTCCCCAACTTCAGATACAGCCAGATAGATGAGAAGCTTTTCCCCCACCTTTGGTTTTGCCAATAACGGTGGTTTTGACAAATAAGCTTTCAAATTTCTAAGGGCTTGTTGACAATCTTCATTCCATTCAAAATGATCTTGCTTTTTGAATGCAGAGAAAAACTTAAAACACTTTTCTGAGGATTTGGAAATAAATCTCCCCAAAGCTGCAATTCTTCCCGTTAATCTTTGGACTTCCTTTTTATTAGTAAGGATATCAGGGATTTCTTCTATTGCTTTGATCTGAGAAGGATTTACCTCAATACCACGGTTAGAAGAAATCTCTGATATCCTTGAACTTCCTTTTTATTAGTAAGGATATCAGGGATTTCTTCTATTGCTTTGATCTGAGAAGGATTTACCTCAATACCACGGTTAAAAACAAGAAAATCCAAAAACTTACCTGATGCAACTCCAAATGCACATTTTTCTGGGTTGAGTTTCATATTAAATTTT